TCACAGGGAGCCACTAACAGAGCTGGGGGATGAAAGGTCAGTATTGAAATGTGTTTGGGAGGTTTGTAGAGTGTTCAACAGATTCTCCCAACTACCCCGTAACACAGGCAAGGAGGGTGACATGGTTCCATTGTACAGAAGCTAAATCACTGCCCAGTCACCAGCTAGGACTGTTGACAAGGAACCAGAAGCACACTGAGTCCCTGGTCCTTAAGTAAAAGAAATAGAGTTCCAGCCTATAGGTAGAAGCCAAGAAATCAAGCACCTTCTTTCTTATCTCCGAAGATTCTGGAAACACAGATATTTGCTGAAACACTTAAAAAGCAGGCAATCCAAATCCCTTACTGGTTTTCTTTCTTTAGGAAAAATGATGGTTCATCCACAGGACAGCCTCAGCTGGTGAAGACAGAGTGGAAATTTCCACCCACCCGCATTTCACATGCAGACTTCCAGAGCTAAAGGACACCGCAAGTGCAAAGCGTTCAAGCAGACTGAGCTCTCTGAAACCTTTGCTGACTCTGGCCAGTGCTCAGACTTCTCCAGAATCCAGTGGGCCTGCCGTGATTCACTGAATTCTTTATGAATTAAGAAGCTGTAAATTACGCATCTTTTCTCTGAAACATGCATTACTTTCCACACTTTTCAGCCAAGCAGAATGAATAGCAACACAGAGCCAGTGTTCTCCCTGGGAAAATGCTGTCGTGTCTCCCTGCTCTTCATGTGGAGGGTGGCCTAGGGAGGTGGCAGTACCAGCTGGGGAAACAGTGCAACTTGACAGTTTGTGGAGTTTGAACGCACAAAGTGGTATCTTTGCAAAATCTCTCCAAGTTCCAGTTTCTGAGGCAGGTTTTAGGCAAACAGCAAACACAAATCACATGTGTGCAACTCTGCTTGAGAAATTGTTTCCATGGACACTCGGAGGCTGGAGAGGGAGGGAAATCCCAGTACTCACCTCTCCTTTGGAGCCATTCATTCTTTCACCATGGAAGTTCTGTGGGCCAGGAATTCCCAGTTCTGAAGGTGAAGCAGCCTGCACTTCAGCTGGACAAGAGACTCATGTGCTGGGCCACATCCAAGTGTACGTGGGCTCGAATGACCACTCAGACCCAAAAAGGAGGTGGTCACCTCCCTCTGTGTAGCTGACACCCCTGCTGGCTCCAGACACAGTGAAATGAGCCTGCGACCTCTCCCTTTCCCCAGGATCACTGCTGTCTGTGTTTCCTCTCATTTATTTAAAAGTTATTCTCGGTAAATATCAGTGAAGAATGGTTTGGAAAGAAACAGCAAGGTTTGAGAAAACCTAGCTGCTTTCAGAAACTATGAAAAACAGCTAGAAGATGCTTGACTATTTGGAAACAAAGGGTTTCAACAGCAATGTCTTTGTAAAGAGGTACAGATGAGGTTACAGAAAGTGATTCTGCTCAAAAAGTAGAGAACTTGGCCCAGACCTCTTCCCCCTTCCCTTTCAGGAAGTGACGTCCAAGTGGGCATCAGCACAGTGTGGCACTAGGAGGCCAGGATTCTGCTGTCACAGGGTCCAACCTGCCCTGCCCCTGGCTAGTCCTTCAGCTGTAAGGGAGGCATCCTCCTCACCTCCAGGGCCCTGCAAAGCCCGGATCCTCTTACACTGTCCATCTGTCTCCAAACAACCCCCCACTGCACCAGGGGATTCCATCCCCTCCCTCCTCAGCTGTATGCTAAGTAGTTCTGCCAGGCTCCAGGCCAAGCACAGACTTTGATTTTTGGCAGCTGGATAAAGCAAGAGGCTTTGGGGTACTGAGATCTGGAATGACGCCCCGATTCAGGCCAGCCCTGCACATGTGTGCATGTGGAGTGCAGAGAGGGGCCTGGTGCACAGCCTTGAGGTGGTGCCCTGAACAGGCAAGCCGGGTGGGCACCCTGTCAGCCCTCGCCCCAATAGTGTCTCCTCACAGCTGCCTGTGCCCTGTGGAGACCCAGACAACACCCTCTATTGAGTCACACAACGAATCCCTCAGGCTGCCAAAATGAGGACGGGCTCTGACAGGGACAATTTTATTTCATGGGACCAAGGAGACAGAATAAAAAGTATCAGCTATAGAAAAACAAAGGCAATAAGCCATCTTCCAAATAAACAAACCATCCTTTGAGCAAGAAAACAGTCATCTAACTGGATCAAGTCAGAATGGGATCACGAAGGACCTGAGTCAGGCCTACTCAGGCCTTCCTCTCCTCAGCCTGGGCCCCCAGTTTTTCTTTTGCTATGGTGGGGAACCCAGTGCTTCCCTGCTGGGGCCTGGCCAAGAAGTGATGTGGTGAGTTCATCTGACAGACATATCCAGAGCACAGTGTTCATACTTGAAAAAAGGGGCTTCTTGTCTTAAGGGTAGAATTTCAGCAAGGAAATTTCCCAAGAATCTCAAGTCACATCATCAAGTCAGTTGCCAGGAATGACCTACAGGACTCCCGCCACCTCTTATGTCACTATGTAAAGAACAGAATTCCTGAGAGTCACTTCCCTGTCTTTGCTTTCTCAGCATTTTCTGCTATCAGTTGGTTTTAACTTTCCTAGTATTAGGGTTGAGTTAAAACTTTGAATATTATTTCGATTAACTGGAATGTACTCTATGTTTTTAAAAGAACATATAAATATATTAATAAAGATCTGATGCAGACACTAAAGATAATTTGAGAAGACATTCCTCCCATAAAGCAGTTCTGAGCTCTGAATACACACTTCTTATTAGTAGAAAATCATAGGCACATTCATAGCATGTAATTTAAAGAAAAAGATTAGGGCTTTTGGTATCAAAAGCATATAATGAGATATATTGGGAAAGAGACTCAAACCTAAACATGAAATTTGTTTGTGGTTCATATACACATAGGTCACTTTATACAATGTTTTTAGTGGGCCTGCATTTTGACTCAGCCCTGTCACCTGAAGTCAGGTGGTTTCATCTTAGGGCTCAGTTTCTAACCTAGGTGCATTCTGGATTTTCAGATGGGGGATGCTCACCCTGTACTGAATGAGGAATGGAGAGATATTGGGTCTGGTTTTGGTCAATTATTACCTGGGTGTCCAGCTCTGGATGGGACACTTAACTTCTCTGTATCTTGGTTTGGTTGGCTGTAATCACAGATCTTAAGACATGAAAGGGACACTGAAGTGACACCAAAAATGCTCCCAGCCCCAAGCCCCATATTCTCATTCCATTTTTAGAATTAAATGAGGGGCTGTATGCAGTGACTCACACCTATAATCTCAGCTACTTGGGAGGCAGAGAGAGGCAGGATGGTGGTTCCAGGACAGCCTGGCAAAAAAGTTCCACAGACCCCATCTCAACCAATGGTTAGTTGCAGTGGTACACATGTGTCACCCCAGCTAGGTAGAGAAGCTTACAGAGGAGGATCATGGTCCAAGAAGGTCCAGGCATAAAGGGAGACCCTATCTCAAAAATAACCTAAGCTAAAAAAGCTGGAAGAGTGGCTCAAGTGGTAGAATGCCTGCCTTGCAAGTGCAAGGCCCTGAGTTCAAACACCAGAACTAAAAGAAAAGAATTTAATGAGGGATTCAATGAAGGCCCAGGGGTTTAGGCATTGTGACTTCTCTTTGATCACAGGCTGACATTGAGGACAACAGCAGTGGGCTCAGGTGCTGGGTTGTCCTGCAGCAGTGGGGGACAAATTTATGTTGATCCCTCAATATTTTCTTCTGGTCCTGCTGGTGCCCGACAGCCCAGGAGAGTCTAGAGAATCCAACAGGCTCTCTGGGACAAAGGCCAGGACTTCTGTTTCCTAAACACAGAGCTCTCTGCTACTCAGTAAGTTTTGTCAACACAGGTCACAAATTGATGAGAAATGGACCTTTAATTCTGGTGCTAGAAGAAAGGTACATGACTCCGCCTTCCATTTGTGTTAGTAATTTCTGGGTTTTTGTTAACAATTACTGGCATCAAGACTAAAACACTCCATGAAGATGAGGGTTCCCAAACCAGGTTCACAAGGGCAAACAATTATTGCTGTGATGGAAGGAGCTCCAGACTCGAAGTCAGAGGCCTGGGAAACAATCAGTGCTGGTGGTGCCCCTTATGGGGCTTCCCAAGCGTGGAATTTCAGGCCCCAGGCTCCAGGCATGGTATTCTGGACTCCCAGGTACTCCACATAGGAAGAGTGATTTTGGCAAGTCCTAGGTCCTTTTGGAATCTCAAGATCCTCATCTGAAAACCTGTTCCATTATGGCGTTGTCATAGGAACTGAATAAGATGGGCGGTGAGAAAACCTTGCAACCCTCTGACAGAGAGTCCCCAAACACATCTGTTCTTTTCTCTCTCTCTCTTTTTTTTTTTTGTAGTACTGGGGATTGAACCCAGGGCCTCAGACATGCCAGGCGAGCACTCTACCACTTGAGCCAAACCCCAACCCTTTTATGTTCATTTTTTATTTTATTTATTTATTTATTTGTCAGAACTGGGGTTTGAACTCAGGGTCTCACACTTGCTAGGCAGGCGCTCTACCACTTGAGCCATACCTCCAGCCCTTTTTTCATTAGTCATTTTTTGAGATAGGGTCTCACTTTATGACTGGACCACAATCCTATTTGTGCTTCCTGTATAGCTAGGAATGAGAGGCAGGTACCACTATACCCAGCCATTGATGGAGATGAGGGTCTCATGAACTTTTTGCCCAGGCTGGCCTCCAACTCTTCATCTTCCTCCCTCAACCTTCTGACTGCTGGAATTATGGGCATGCACCGCCATACCTGACTCAACATATCTGTTCTTAACCAGGATAGTGCTGGTCAGAACACCCAAGGGCTGATTAGTTTTTCTCTGGGACCTAAAACTTGGCATCAAAGACAAGCTGAAGAAAGCAAATTAGAAAATCACTCGAGAAAGTGCTCTGAGTCATCTGGAACAAGTTTGCACCTGCAAAAGCTTCCATGGAGTGGCTGCTGGTTGGCCTGGATTTGCCACCGCAGAGCTATGCAGAGCTCATCTCTGGCATGCAACAGGACTTACCAGATAGCGTTCCTCCTGCCTCATGCTGGGGGTGCGGACCATGTGATTCTGTTCCCCTCTCCAGTCTCCAAAGCGACGGAAAAAATAGTTAGATAAGAACCGGCTGACGGGGTCTCTGATGATGTTGATGTAGACAGGCTGCTCTCCTCCGAACCTAACACACACGCAAACAGGGAGCGCGTTACAACCCATTGCTCTAGAGAAAACTGAGGCCTCCCTGGATGAGGTTTTCCCTCTAGGTCAACTTCTAATCCAAGCACTACCCGTCTCCTAAGGGGCCCACGAGCACAGGAACAAGCAAACAGTGCCTCCTCATAGACATTTCGTCACCACGCAGGAAGCAGAAAGGATGACACTTGACCGAGGGACGATGGAGGTGCTGTGAGGGCAGTTTCCTAGCAAAGCCTTACTTATATGAGCCAGGCTATTTGTCAGCCTCAGGGCACAGACTTTTCTGGGTTTCTCACTAAGCCTAGGTTTGCTGATGACAGGGCCACACTGTGCTGGACTTTGGCTGACATACAATTCACTGGAAGGTAGGTGGCCCTCAGTGAATGTTTCAACTGAGGTCACTTCGGGCTGCTTTGGTGGGTGACCCAGTACTTCTGCCCTGTAGTTGACAGTCCCAGGGAAGATGCTCTGTGGTGAGTGGCTTTGGTAAAGTCAACCTTCACTCAACACTTTATATGGCTGACTCAGGGACATCCCCCAACATCCTCCTGGAGTCCCCACCTACACCTGGGAAACCAACGCAGAGCAAAGATGGATAACTCGTGGCTGAGCCAGAAGATAAACCCAGGTGCTCTGACTCCAGTATCTGAGCTCTTAACTACAGAAGGAACATTCCAGAGTGGAGAAAAGTAACGATGTGAGGGAATGAAATAAATCACCGCAGCTGCCTGTCCTTCAGGGGTGGAAAGTGGATGTAGGAAAAAGTAAACATCTAGCTGTCCCATTTTCATTTCTTCCACAAAGGTATCAGACGACTGCATGAGGGCAGCTGGGGAACAGGGCATTTTCAATGCTTGAAACCCCTGAGGTTTTGGGCAGAGGTCACCATCATGACCTCCCAAGGGACCCTATCTCTATGCCTATCTGATGAGGATGTCCTGATGTTTCATCAGGGGACAGAAAGAGCTCAGAGAAAACAGGTGGAAAAGACCCAGCTCCTGTCTCTCTCTAGCTGGCAGATTGTTCACTTGTTGTCAAAACCCAACCTTGAATCACAGTCACCTCTTCAGCACATAACTCCAGGGTACTGTAACGTCTCTCCTTCCTCTGTGCCCTGAGCCCTTTCTCCATACTGTGCTGACAAGTCTAATTCTCTCATTAGACTGTGTGTCTCCTGCAGCCAGGAGCTCTGTCCTTTAGCACAGTGGGTGTGGCACACAGTAGGTTCTCAACAAATGACGGAGGGAACAAAAGCCTGGGTGTGCATTTTGTAGTGTCATGCTTCTGCAGGTAACAGGGGCAGTGCTGGCAGAGCAAAGAAGATGTAACAAGATGCCAGTGCTTTTCTGTATATTAAGTCCTATAATGTTGTGCCCAGTTTACTTCCATTTTTGAAGACAATCTTCAAAGAAGACTTTAAAGGAATGACTCTGACAGTGGAACTGTGGGCACCAGGACACAAGCATGATATTCTGGACTCCCCTGTGCTATCACCTAGGAAGACACCTAAGTCATGAGTAAGGTCAGCCTTGCTGATATGAATGTGGTCAGTTCCCAGGTGTATCCATGGTGATACTCAGGCTACTAGATGAACAACTTACTATAGTCCCAGGAGTTAGCAGTGCCAACCACCAGCTAACTGCCATATACATCCTGGATTTATCATCTTCTTTTAATTAAATTGGGTTTCATATCTATGATAAACAGAAAGTAGAGTAATAAAGCTAAGGACTAGAAAGACAAAACATGCATACCGAATGTGAATCCAATTCTACCCTCAGAAACTGCATCCTGCTTTTACAGACCTCAGCTGTGAAGAACAACTACCAATGCTGATCAACCGACCTTTCCCTTGTGGGACTCAACACACCACTTCCCACTAGGAGACAGCTCTCAGTATGACCACTGCCATGAGGCTATAGACACGAGGGTGACACGGCTTCTTGAGCCCAGTGACATGCTCCTATTTATACACAGCAACTCAATGCAAGTGTTCCAGAGGAATTTTCCAAAGCAGAAACTTCAGGTGGCTTACAAGTTTATTTGTGAAGTATCAGATAATATAAGAAATTCACACAATAGCATCAGAAATTAATATAACAGTATCAGACAACATAAGAAATTCCCAACTATGAGAGAGAAGTGTCTAATATATAGCTCTCCCTTTCCAGAAGACAAGCCATAATGGTTTCTGGCTGCCAACTGTGATGCCATTGGTACACGATGTTTCCTCACAAACTGGCAAAATCTAGGTGGCATGTCAACTGTACCGAACAGGCCAGAATGCTGCCCATGGTACCGCCAGAGTACATTGGTGAGCAACCATCACCACCATCCAGCTTCAGAGCTTCTTCATCATCCCAAACTGCAACTCTTGTGCCCACTGAACAAGAAATCCTCTCCCTCCCTGCCTCTGGGAAGCAGCACGCTACTGGAAATCGAAGCAGATTGTCCCTGGTTCTGCAACCTATGTCAAAAGATGAAAAGTGCCACAGGCTGGAGAACCATGGCTTTGATCCTGGCCAGTGAAGGAGCAAGACACTTTGAAGTGAGAGAAAGCCATCATGAGAAAGACATAAGTGTCTGGGGACAGACTGAGGGAGAAGGGTAGATGTGGTTTGCTAATGCTTCTTTGCTGGAAGCCAATCACAGTAACTAAATCCTTTGGCAATTACTGAACCACCGCTGGGGCCAGACACAGGTGAGAGACCACTCTCCACCCCCAGACTCTGCTGCCTGGGGTAGGATCTGGAACCATAAGACACCAAGCCTCACTGCTCTGTGGCGTGTCCTGAGGAGAGAGCTGACAGCACTTACTGTGAGAAGCTGAGGCAAAGAAGGTGAAAGAAGGGGTGACCGGGCCACTGCAATTAGGGTTCCAGCTCAGAGAGGAAGATGAAGAGACAAGGCAAGAAATAAACAGCTGACAATGAACAGCAGGAAAGAAACAATAAATTAGGTGAGTTTCAGGAAAGTCTAGATTATTGTTGTCCTTAAAGGACCTCCACCATGGCTGGGCTCATGTAGCTGGAGAGATCCACTCACTGTCATGGAAAGCAGAGACCTAAGGAAGGGAGCGCATTTTCGAAGACCAGTGAAGCAATGTTTCAATAGGGTAAACTGAGGAAAAGCTCTCATCTAGAAATCAGATTCTGGGCTCTGTTTAAGTAGATGAAGACAGTGTTACATAACTGCTAATATCAATTTTTGTTTTGGTATTCTCTTCAAAGTTTGAGGTTTCTGTCACTATTGTGAAAGATTTGAAGGGCACAGAACCAAGAGACCACATTGCTAATGAGATTGAAAAACAAAGTCAACATTTATAAATAAGATGTGGAAACCAAATTGAATTATGGAAATGGCAAGGTCTGATTTATTTTCTTAAATAATGCCTCTGGGGGTGGCTTTGTTCACATCAGTAATTAAGACTTCACTTGAAAGGACCAGAGAAAGTTCAAAACACCTCCCCTTGGTTGTCACAACCCCACCTGCTTCCCTGGTGATTGATTAATTTTTAATGTTTTTGTTTTTACAAGTTAGCCTTGGCATTGGGGTTATCATCTGAGATGAGGAAATAGAGTGGAAGCAGAGAAGGGAGGGTGTCATGGGTGAAAAGGAAGAATGACAAAAGAAAAGACTGAGAAGTTGTTTAGCATACTGAGAGCTCCTGCAATTCACTTGGACTATTTTGACAGCATCAGGCTCTAACCTTAAACTTCAAATCCAAAGAGGAATGAGAGGAATTCTAGATTGGAAAAAAAAATTACCCCCAACTCCCCCTAAAACCAAATAACCAGTGGGGACAGGAGGAGATGAGCTGCCTGTGTCCGTCATAAGTCTTTCCAGTATGTCCATCTAAGACACACTTGCAGGGACACAGCTGATATCGGAAAGTTGAAGTTTTCATAACTTATATCCTAAAATTACTTCAACAACAAGAAAAAGACACATGAAACTACAGCACACACATATGAAACACCTGACTTCAACAATGCAACACAGAGCAGCATCCTAGGCCAAGGTGGTTTAGACTTAATTCGCCAGTTTTCAGGGGAAAAAATGGAAAAATTCTGGCCCAAATTTCCAGAGATCAAAAATAGTGTGTGAGAACAGTACAGTAGCAACCCCATGATCATAAACTGAAGCCTGGGGTCTCTGCTGGCTGGGCTACCACCTTGGTCCAGAAACCTTCCCTGAAGCCAGCAGAAAAACTCCCAAGACTGCTTTATAGAGTAGCACGTGGCCAAACGGCTCCCTGAAACCCTAACAGAGGTAAAAGAAGGAAGAGAGCAAGGAGCCAAGATGATGAATACATGAATAGGTCAGCTGATCAGTCACCAAGAGCTCACAGGACAGCATTTTCCCCTCACTTTGAGTGCTTAATTTCAAGTAAGAATGCCACTTTTAATGGAGAAAAAGAAGAGCCATTGGTTTTGTTATAATGCTATATCCTTCAAAAGCTCAGAATATGCACATGCTACAGAAGAGGTGGGGAGAGAGGCTAAAGTAATTCTTACAGTCTGCTCAGCAGGGAGGACTTGAAGCATGTTAACAGGGTAGGGAAGAGAAGAAAGACTGACTCTGGTTTATAAGCAACATATGGAAGGAAGATATAACAGCAGGTTTCCTTCCTCCCTCCTTCCCTTCCTTTCTTCCTTTCTTCCTCCCTCCCTTCCTCCCTCCTTTCTTTCCTTCCTCCCTCCCTCCCTTCTCTTCCACCCTTTCTCTCTCTCTTTCTGTCTTTCTTTGTTTTACCAGTACTGGGGTTTGAGCTCAGGGCCTCATGCTTGCCTAGCAAGCCTTCCAGCCAGCCATTTTTGCCTTACTTATTTTTTAGCAAGTATCTCCACCTTTTTGCTGAGGACCAGCCTCAGCCTGAGATCCTCCTACCTCTGTTTCCTGAGTAGCTGAGATTACAGTTCTTTGCCACCATGTCAGGCCCAGAGGCAAGTTTAGGAGCAGCTTTAGGTCTTAGAATATAGAACTCATTTTTAAAAGTGTGATAAAGACCTCTTAACAGGGCCCTACTTGGTTATTTTTCTCTGTCAATTGTGTATTTGGGGGATTTCTTTGCCATTTGTATCTGAGAAATTTTTCTTAAGTAAGGATCTTCCCTTGAGAAACGAAAAGCTGATTTTGAAGTCTCCAGGACCTAGGAGTGTGAACAGTGGTCTTCTCATGGATTCAAGTTTATCCCATATTCTGCTCATTTTTATAGCAGTCCTATAGTTACTGCCCCAGGCCTTTTGGAGTGAGAAGAAGAGAAGGGGGGATGGTTCTCTCACAGGCCAGCCCTACAGAGTCCTGCTTCAGACCTGTGCTGACCCTCCACTCCAGCTGTGCACACCTGCTGCTCTGCACTTGTGAATTCCTCCAGCTCCTCTGTCTGGCCTTCACTCATGATGTCCCTACCCTGGGAATGCCCATCCCCTTGCTATATCTACAGATGATTTGCCCCCACAACCTAGGAGAATGGTCTTCCCAGCCATCCTCTTCCGGGGAGGGAGCCTGTGCCTCCCACCTCCCTGGGGAAGTTCTATGACCCTTCTCCCCATGTAATCACACCTGACTGCATGTCTTCCATACTGGAAACACTCAAGGACTCTGAAGTGAAAGGAAATACTCGGGGCTCACTGCTGGTGTGGTTCTGTATTGAAGGTAAAGGATGCTCTGCCACTATAACTTGAGTTCAACCCAGCGGAGAGGAAGAAAGAACCTGTCCTGCCTGCATGACTGCTGCTGCTCTGGAAACACTGTGGGCTAGCCACAGGCAGGAGCTGAACCATGGACCCATTCTGAGGCTTCCATGGAAATGCCTCTTTAAGTGCCTCTTTGGATTTCTATGACATCCTTCCTTCTCTCAAAGGGCTTTCCTCTACATGGTCAGAGCATCCCTACAAGACAGGGGTGGGCACCAGCTGTCCCTCTTTTAAAGTGGAAAAATGGATAACCCTCCCCAACAGGCTCAATGACTTGTCCAAGGAAAGGCAAGCTCTGATACCCAGGAATCCTGACAGCCAGGTCTCCACTGCTTTCTGCAGATGTGCTGTCTTCTAAAACACATATATCAAGGTTGTCTTCCTTTCAGAGTTAAAGCAATCAAGATTATAATCATGTATGTAGTATACCAGAAGGTAGCAGCCATGATAAAATATTTCCTTTGTGCTGTGCTCTGCTGATCCAATTAAGATATCAGCTTTGGCTTCTCATTAGAGTTTTTCACTATCCTGGGATAATTCTTAAAATTTGTTATATTGCAATTTGTTTGATTGTAAAGATCTGACCTAGGAAGCAAAAGGAGGTAATGACTAGAGTTTGGAGGTGTCATGGCCAATGCAGAAGGAAGCTCACTAGAATAGCAGGGACCAGAGAAACGGTGTTCTTCTCTTTACAAGCCATAAAACACAGGGCCTGAAGGAGCTAACACGTCTTCATTACCTCATTATGGGTAATGACACGTTCTTGGCTTCTGGAAGGAGGAGTCAGAGTGCACGCACTGGCTAACCCTGTAAAGAGCCAATGTATACATGTGGTTGAAAACACACTCCAAGCTGCCCAGCACCTGGCCCAGGGTCACTGCTAATAATTTGCAGGTGTCCTAGTCACTGTCCCAGGGAACTCAGTTATTAGGGAGGCCTGGGAAATTCAGGCCTTTATCTTTATCTTTTAAAGATAAGGCAGCAACTCCTCTCTCTGCTTAATAATATGCTTTGTGAATCTCATTCACTGCACTTAATTGGTACAGAGCCCACTGCGCAGCAGGGAAGTCCTTTGAGGGTTAAAACCTGCTCCAGGCATCAAGGGGCAGGATAGCAGGAGCAAATACTCAGGCAGAGCCCTGGTTCCACACAATCAGCCTTTTGGAGTACCCTGCCCACAGGGGCAATTGGGTGAGTACCAACTAGTAGGCTCTACTACTAGTACTTACTGAGTCAGGGTAGGGTGCTCAGGTACTCTCTGTGGACCTGACAGGTACTGTTATCCTCAAGCTAAAATGAGGGAAGCACTGTGAGACTGCTGACCAGAGAGGCTCAGGCTCAGCAGATCTGCCCTGGACTCAGGGATCTGTCACTGATGGGTACTGACTGTGAGCACAGCCCAGTGCCAACATTGGAGCAGGAGTCTTCTGTCTAAGAGTGAGATATAGGGCCAGTAACCAATTCCAGACCACTGGAGAGGAACATGCACAGAGCCTGAAGGGAGCATTTTAACCACCACAGGTTCAAACCTGAACCTGAAGGTCTGCATTACTATCAGAAGGCCACGTGAAGAAAAGACAGATTCTAAAATACTTCACCCCTGTCAAAACATGCAAGGTTCATAACAATCAAATGGAATATTAAAAAGCTAGACGGGGGCTGGGAGTGCAGCTCGGTGGTAGAGCACTTGCCTAGCGTGCACAAGGCCCAGGGTTGGATCCCATCACTGCAAAAAGAAAAACACTTAGGGCTGGGAGAGTGGCAGATCATCTGCCTAGCAAGAACGAGGTCCTGAGTTCAAACCCCAGTACCACCATCAAAAAATAAAAAGGAGAGAGAGAAAGATAAAGAACAAAACTAGACAGAGGCTGGCATTCTTCCACCACTAGGTTACCCCCAGGTTCATATTGTGCGAAAATGTGCAATAAAATATTTATGTTAAAATTACTGATTCCTTGCCTCCTTGTTTATTTCAATATAAAACTTGATTTCTTTGTTAAAGAACTGTCAGGTCAAATGCCTTCTCATTAAAAACAACTCCATGTTTTTGTGATATATGAGATGCTATTTTAGGAAGAAATGAAGTTTCTATCCAAATATTTCTACTTTTGATTCCTCTGCAGCAAAAATAACTAGATAAAAGAAATGTGTTTTCAAGGACAATTGTACTACCTTGCAAAGAAAGGTAGATTTCCAAAGTAATACTTGTTCATTAGAAAGAGCCCGATAATTAAGAAATGAAGTAACATTGAACTTGAACATGCCTTACCTTGAGAAGTTGAGGAAATGAACATGGCGAGTGAATAAATAGGGCTGTTCAGCAGTACTTATATTTTTAATCAGTTCCATCTATTAAAAAAAGAAGCACAAAATTAGAATAGATACCATCTAATTTACCAAGCCATATTAAGCTAAAGGTCATCTATCCAGCTTCTTTCTTCCCCACTTACTTCTTATTCCTTAGCTCTTCCAGGGCCAAAGAGCTGGCTTTGTGCAGCATTCATGAACTTTTATGTAAGGGTTCTTAGTGAATAAAAGAGTGCTCTCCAAATTTATACTCCTGTGTCTAATTTAGCTCATTGCAATGTGACAGATTAAGTAATTTCAATGGGAGAAATGAGCGTGTTGAGGTACTGAAATGCAAGTGAGAAAAGGACTTTTAATTCTTCATTTAAAGTCAAACCAGGGAAAGAGGTTAATCATTATCCTATATTTATATAATGGCATTATGGGATTTACAGAAATGTTTGAAACCAGTGCTGCACACTCTAAAACTGGGAAATAAAATGAGGTACTCCCTCATTAGTTTTCTCCTTGGTTATAAAAATTTATAAGGAAAATGTTTCATGGGAAACACAAATGCCCAGACATCCTGGTTTTTTGGTGGGTGGTCATCTGAATTATTTATTTACAGTTATCAGTAAGGCAAAAAGTATTTTAGGTTTGTATAAACTAACTTTTATGGTCTTCTGGAACATGTCATGATATAGAAAATGTTTAGTAAAATCTGTTAGAAATTCCAAACATTGTTAGGACTCCCTGACTTCCTGAATTCTACTTTCCCCAGATTTCTAATTGGCCCCATCAAAAATGGACATGGGAATTTTTTAAACACATTAAAGAATGCTACTTTGGATGAACACCAGACATGCAGTATATTTCATATTTTATGAAGTAGTTCAAGTTGAAAACTGGAAACAAAAGTGGCCATTTGCACGTTAACCACAACAGCAATGGCAATAGAGTCTGGACCTCCAGATTCGTATCTAACATGACAGAAACCCTGGTCTCCCTTGTTGCTGAATGTCACCACGAGGGCTTGACACAGGCATACATTCGATCAATATTTGTTCAATGAATTAACTCCAAATAGTACATGCTACTCTGGGAGCTCAGTGTCTCAGCCCTCTAATTAGTTATTTGTGTTTGCAATGATTGTTTGAAGAAGTCAAATTGAATTTTAAAAGTAAATGACCTGCAGCCCCTGAGTCCTGGGTTTCTGTTAAGTCAGGGGCAGGCTTGGATGAATAACGGTTTACCCTTCCTCAGTGTAAAAGGAAATTGAATCCTGCTCTTTATCTCCTGCATATCCTCCCCATAATCCCTGCACGCACTTGCTTCTCATAGTAAAACTTCCTGCGTGGGCACTTTGTTAATGTTGAGTTTTGATGGATAGAACACAACCACAGGTCATTTATTTCTGAGGATACCTGCTTAGAAAAAGATTTCTTACCTCTGAGTATATTTATATTTATATGCTCATTTCTAGATCATTTTTATTCAGCTATTTCTCTGCGCATATTCAAACTACGTAAGAAAGCACCCTCATATTGCACAAGAAAGCTGGAGGAGCAGGTCAGAAGAAACCCCGTTTCTTTCACTTAATCAGCATGCTGTCACATTCTCTAAACACATGTCAAAGTGTTAAATTTAATGAAAGAGCAGTAATGGTTAGTTTTTCAAGAACGGTGTCATAATAGTCATAAAGCTGTCTGCTTCTCAAAGAAAAATGGATTAGCAGTGACAATGCAGAACTCTTTCTAGCTGCATCTTTAAAGAGTGAAGGCGCTAATGCATTAGTACAGCGAGGACAGAGCACATTTCTCTGTCATACAGTTTGTCACTGCACCCCAAACAACAAAATCACTTACGATGTTATATAAGCACAAGCTTAATGCCTCATGTTCAAGGCATCATTGGTCCTTCATAAATGCTAAGACTTGACCCATTTCCAATGACAAACAGTGGTCTCCTAAACCCCTGCTACTCATCACCTGTGGTCCCTCACCTGTCCTAGTCATGTCAGCATCGTCCCTTTTCTCTCACCTTGGTCTTATTTGCATGGGTGCCATCCTGGCAGCTATGGCACTACCTAACACCATCCCAGACAACATCTCTCCTTTCCTGGCTCATACAGGACCACTTGTGGCATATAATCATTTATTATTCGCTGGGCACTTATGAAGTACTAGAGATAAACACATGAATAAAGCGGGTGGAAAGACACAAAGTAGACAGTAGATGTCCCAATGGTTTTTCCAAGTCCACCAAAACCATACTCTTGGTCCTTACCCGTCTTTACCCTTTGTCCATCCCGACCTATCCTGCCTGGCACAGTCTGGTTCTGGTTAATGATGCTCCCACTATTCACCCTTTGACCCAGGTCTTTCCTGGACTTCTATATTCAATCCCCTGCTGAATCACATTAAATATACCTCAATGAGCTCTCAAAGGGGCATGTGCTATCTCCAACCAAACTAGATACCTCCTTGCTCCTTACACCAAAGTGCCTGCAAGTTCAAGTTTTCTCTTCCGCTACGTTCTACTGCTTCACTCTGCATGTCCAAATTCTAGCCACTCTTTACCTGGGGCTAAAATAGCATCCTCCTCTAAGTTCTTCTAAGCAGCTTTTCTGGATCTCCCTTTTATTCAACACCCACTCATCTCCAACTCTGTATCAAACAATGATCAGCTGGGGTTGTGGCAAAAAGATTTGGATCTTGCTCTCAGGAAGCTCAGAGTTTTGTAGGTGAGGTAGATAGATATCGTGAGCAGGTAAAATCAGGGGATAACACCATGGGGTAGAAAGCACACAGGTGAGGTACCTATCCCTACCTGCAGATGGAGAGGAGGACCTATTTCCCAGGAGGTATCCAGAGTGGTGTGAAAGCACTCATAGTCGTTAGCCAGTAAAGAAAATGATGGGAAGCAATGTGGGCAGTGTGAACAGCAGATATGAGGGCCAGACATAAAATGGCATGGGTGTTAAGAAGCTGTAGGAGTTGGTGATGCTGGAGATTGGGTATGGGATCAGCAAGGTAGTAAGTGACTAGAGAGTTAGGCAGGAGCCAGGTAATTGAGGGCACTCAAGCAATGTGAGGTATTTTGCTATTTCCCATATAGGCAGTTGATAGTCAAAAGGCATTTATTTTAATTGCTTTCTAGATCTGAGAGCTGGGTGGAGAGTGTGAAGGAGGATACAAATTAGAGGCAGGGGCTGAGGGGTACAGCCTGAGGGCTCAGGAGTACAGTGGTTGTCTGGCATGTGTGAGTACCTGGGTTCCATCCCAGCACATAAGATTAGAGTGTGGGTGCTCAGTAGGAAGACAGTAGCAGCAGCTCCTGGAACTTGCTAGAAAGGCAAATCTTCAGGCCTCACTCTACCTACTGAATCAGAAAAGACTCGGTGGGTCCAGCAACCTGTGTTCTAACAAGGCCTCCAGGAGATGCTGAGGCAGAGAGGTGTGGAACCCTTGAGTGCAGTCAGTGGATGTGAAAAAGGATGGAGAGATGTAGGGAGGGCTAGGAGGTAGATCCACAAGCCTCGTGACTACCTGGTGGTAGAAGGGGAGAGTCCTTCCCTGGCTAGGACACCAAGCACATGGTAGTAGCCATCTGTGGAGACTGGGAAGGCTGCAGGAGGAACAAACCCAGTTGCAGAAGTGGTAGAAAGGCTTTGCTTTTGGACATCTCTGGCTATAAATGAAGTAGCCTTCTTGACCTTCTACAGCACTTGATCTGAGTTTTCAGGACATGCACTTGGTTTGTGTGCTAGCTTTGACCTAGACTGTAAACTCCCTGAGGGTTATGGCCAAGTTTATTTGTCCCCTGGAAAGCCTGTCACCCCTTTAAGAATATTTTTTGGAGCCAAGAAATATACAGTTCACTGAGGATATAACTGTCTGTCACTTGGGCAATGAATTCAGCCCTTCCTGGGTTGACCCACCCATTCTTTAACTTGGTGTCATGTGGAGCTCACTGCATTCCCATTACACTATCAAAGACGTCACAAGGTCAAGCAAATCCCGTTTTCAGAGTGCTTGGGTGGGGGGCTATGCACTGTAACAAGAAGCTCTTTATACAATACATTTAATCCTTCTAAGGACTCCATGAGGCACAGAATGGCTACATAGATTGCTTAAAGTCTTACATGAGAAAGGGAGCTAAGATTCAAACCTGAGTCTGTGAAATCCAAAAACCCTGCTCTTCATCCCTGAGCTGCAATCTACTCACCATTTCCACTGTTTTTTGCTCTACATTTGATTTGTGTGTGTGTGTGTGTGTGTGTGTGTGGTACTGGGGTTTGAACTCAGGGTCTTGCACTACTTGCTAAGCAAGTGCTCTACCACTTGAGACACACCACCAGCCTTATACCTGACTCTTTAAAATGGTTAGCACAGTAACCCTGGCTAATAAAGAGAGTTTATGGGATATGTATATGCTTTCTACATTTTGTAGGATGTGCTGCAACAGTGAAAAAAGAAAGCAGTAAGAACTGTAAGTATTACAGGGCTGAGGGTATACTTAGTAGGAGAGTGCTTGCCTAGCATACATGAGCTCCTGGGTTCCATTCCCTGCAACACACACACACACACACACACACACACACACACACACACACACACACACACACACACACACAGAGAGAGAGAGAGAGAGAGAGAGAGAGAGAGATCTAAGTATGTACCAGAATTGATATTTTCTAAAAGATCTAGGGTGGGAAAATGGAATATACCATAGCAAGAACAGGAATGAATTTTAAATACTTTTTTAAAAAAGAAGTATGTCATGGAATATATCTAAAGGAAGAAGTTAAATCATAGCTTATATGAGATTGAAATGAAATTGATTAAAAGAGAGAGAAGATAAAAGGCAAGAATCAAATAACTGGACAATGCAGAGGACACAAGAGGAAGCACTTCTAGTCAAGTGCTTCCTAACTGGCTGGGGAGGCAGAGTAGAAAATGTCACCTGCAGTTCTGCAAAGCCAGAGAAGAGGCTGGCTTCTTTAGAAAATGTACATCAGCAGTGGGGCACCTAGCCCTATGTTGGTCTGAATTCTTGTGTCA